CTTTTCTTAAGTTGCACTCGTCAAATATTTCATAAATATCAGGTCCGATGATATGCATTATGTGTAAAAGCTTGCTTGGTGAGACAGATAATCATCACCTCTCCCTGCAGTTTTTTCTCAGCGTCAGGGAGAATTTGAGCATTTTTCAGCTCAGTTGTTTTGTTTGTGACGGTTCTCTCTCATTAACCGCAGCAGCAGCAGCAGCAGCAGGCAAAAAGCCCTGCTACACCCACCGTACTGAACCCTCGCAGCACCGAGCAGCACACAGATAAAGTTAGCAGCCAGCTGGTGAACACAGCGGTGCTGGTGAACATTTAGCAGCTACAGAGATCGGAGTCATATCAGAGCCACGAGGACACAAACTCTAAATCAATGCTAATGTCATTCATAACAACGATTTAAGGCCTCAGCATGATATACATGTCACGTTGTTTTAAAGTTCATCCCCCCCGACTGGATCAATGCAGCTTTTAACAGATCTGTTTCAGATTCTTCATGAGACATCTAATTTACATGAGCACATCAAAACTGTTTCAAACAAACAGAAAGAAGACATTAACACAGCAAAGCCACTGTGAACCGCCACGGTAACCTCCAACCAGCAGACCCATGAGAGGCTTTTAGGGCTACAAGCCTGACAAAGTATTTATTTATAAATCAGAGGAGGGAGGGGGAGGATCACTGACCGCCGTCCCACAGCCTCTGCCAGATTTGTTATGTCACAGGATCTAGGAGGATCAGCATCCACCTCGTCTAGCCGGGACCAGAATGAGTGGGAAATCCTACACAGATTGGGTTTGTGTTGCTGTTGACTGAACGCTGCTGAAAACTAACGAGCAGGGTAAAAGCAACAGACTGTCTGAGAGGTTAAATCCATTTCTCGTTCCTTTCTCGTGTGTCTTTTTCTTCTACCTGCGTTATTGGTTTAAACGGCTACACGTCCGTTCAACACAAATGAAACCACAGTAGAGGTAGAAAGCAGTGTAAAAGCAGCGTGCCGGCTGTACCTGGGTGTAGGTGCAGAGTCTCGTTGTTGCAGAAGTCGGTGAAGCAGCAGTTCCTCTTGGAGACGTTTCTGGAGCTGTAGCAGAAGACCTGGCCCTTCATCTCGGAGGGCGACAGGCAGGACTTGACCGTCTCTTCCTTCCCGTCGATCAGCATCACGGAGTTCCAGCAGGCGCCCTCGGCGGCCGTCTCACAGGTGTGGTTGGCGCACAGCTGGCACACACACTTCAGACCTGAGCGGCATAGCATCACATAAAATGTTTAGGTGGCCGCCTTCTCCACAGATACTTACGGGTTAATTCATTGATTTGTGAAACCGCCGAGGGGGAAAAACAAGGACACGAGATAAACAGTTAGACTCACAGACTAGCATGGCCAGTGGTCTTTAACTCTTTAGAAGCAGGATGCTGCTGTTACATAAGGAGGCCCATGCACTTAAATGGCTGGAGGTGGAAGAACCAGAGTAATGCCTCTTAGTTTAACACCTACATAATCTGGTGTTCTACTTGGAGCTGCTGTCATGCTTTGCTTGATAAGCCGCTGAGGGATTGATAAGCAAGATTGCACCGCCTGTGCTCACTTGAAAAAACCTGGAAATGTCTGTGTAAACGTCGCACATGATTGGATTGTGCTATTTCTGAGGTATCTCCAGTTTTGAACTAAGTCTCTACAGAATGTGCATATAAATGAGATGATAGAAATGTAGATGTTTTTGGAGAAATTAGTGCATTCGATCTTTTTGAGTATGAACCCTCTGAACCCTGAGAAGTTTTGGGGTGAATTGTGCTCCTGTGCACATCTTTACTCACTGTGGGCTCATTTTGCAATATAAAGTCCAGCACCTCTATGGAAACAGCACGACCATGACTACAAGCAGAGAGAACTCAAAAATGTATATGAATCATTACATTTTTTAAAAAAACAACTAGAATCAATCTATGCAGGATTTCTGTGCCCACACGTATCTCCAACACTGGCCCACATTTTGGCTGTACATGCTATAGATAATTTACCACTTTGTTTCCATACGTGTCTCCTATCTGCTTTGTGTAAACACAGCTTGCAGTTATACATTAAAACCCAAGTCCATAATAGTTCCACAGCTGCACTGAAGACTGCAGACTTTGTCAACCTTTCATTTCTGGTGAATTTTCAAGTCACACACATGTAGAATAAAATGATTTTGACAAAAAGATAAATAAGAAAATGTTAGGGTTAGATTCAGGTAGATTTCCCAAAGGAACAGTATGTCACAGATGAGGAGTTCAATGGTTCTTGGAAAGCTGAAAATCCAATTATTTTTCTCAGTGTAACAGTTTCTAACTCTGATAAATGGTGTCATTTTGGGATTTTTTGTTAAGGCAGTGTGCCTTTTGGGGTACAGAGAGTTACAAACCAACCTCTTCAGTGATATTTTTGTACAGTTTAGTGCATCTTACCTGTCAGTCTATATACATTACAAACTGATGGCTCATTGAAATGTATGTTTTAAGTGCAATCAGGGATTTGCATGCCACTTCAGTCCTGTTGTAACATCCACCCTAAATTATATTTTGTCAGTTTCTTCCCATAAGTAACAAACACGGGTTCTTTCTTGTCGATCACTTCTTATCTACACACTATACTGTATTCACGATATAGAAGCAGGTGAGTGGAAGCGGATTCAGGTAAAACAACTTCTAAAGACGCAGGTTTCACAATCAACCCCTTGTTTGTTTTTTGTTGAGCTAGGAGTCTTGAATGCAGCTCATCCGTCACACAGGCTGCCAGACACTTTTGGTTTGCCGGATTCACCAGAACCTTCCAAGAAAGCCAATCCATTGTTCATTGATTTTGTGTTGTGTGCTGCTGACTCATGACCCATGTCGCTCACTTGGCTAATTTGGTCATGTCCTCGTCAACTGTGACTGTCTTGAAAGTAAACTCAGAAGCTAGAAGCTGGAAGAATCGAATAAGGTCAAAATTAAAAAATAAAGTCTATGTGATAGAAATATTTTCTTGTAACCTAATCACTGAAGTACTACAAATCTATTCTAGTACTAAATATAAGCAGAATAAAACTGTATTTCCATCTCTTGACCTTGTGGCAGTCAATCCTAACCACATTTATGCCAACTAAAGACAAAAATATTTAGGAATATGTCACAAATATCTGGTTTTATCTTTGTAAAAAAGTGCAGTAAGGTTCTCAAACAGCTTGGAACTCTAATATTTACTGACTGTTAACTAAAAAGAGATTAAAAAGTGGACCGTTCAGTTGCATTTAGCCAACCTGCAGATGAAGATGGACCGACACAAACAAACAGCAGCCCCTGCGTTCATTTTAATGAAGTCTCTTTGTCGTAGTGTGGGGTACATCTTAGCAGGAACATTTCCTCATCTTTCTTTTATCATTAGGATTTATTGACAGGTAAAGTACACAGCCTTATCTTTTAAATAGCTTTTTCTCAGCAGTGAGAGAAAAAAAAAAAAACACCTCGACAAAACCAGCAGAAGAGATCACGACCTCAGTTCAGGGAAAATGACGGGAGTTTGACAATTTTTTTTTTTCCTCTCACAGCACACCTGGGAGTTGCTTAGTAACAACCTCCTCAAGGACAATTAAAAGGACAATTTAAATATACTGTTGACACTTTAGGAACGACAAGACTTTCTGTTCTTAAAGCAAGTGACTGACTGAGCATCGGTGTGAATGTTTACCCACTTCTTTAACCGTGCATGGCGGCAAAGAGGCGACGTTTCACCGTTTTCTCCTGTTGAATATTATTATAGATGCTCTCAAAACATCACTATTATCAAAAGTTGTCTTTAAAAAAGTGCTGGAACTTTTTCAGCAACAGCAATAAGAAAGAATTCTCATCTCAATGCATCAAATTCATTTCATCAAAGTGAAAACATGTAATACTTAGTGTGTTTCCCCACATGAGATCTACTGTGATATTTCACTAAATCAGAAAATCCTTGAGGGGTAAATGCAATCCAATTATAGATGGATCAGATGCAACATTAGGACCACTGATAGATGAAGTGAATGACACTGTAGTGTTCTTCTAGACAACACTGATTCCTGACATGTTACTTTGGCAACACCACCCCCAAACATCAACACAATAACACGCTCTGACACACAGCAAGAACTCCTCAGGAACACTACAAGGAGCCCGAGGCAGCATCCCAACCTCCCAAACTCCCCACATACAACCCGACTGAGCATCCCTGTAATGGGAGACCCCACCCTGCAACCCAAAGGATGCTGCTGTGGAGGTGCCAGACACCACCAGGCACCTCCAGGTGGTTTTAACGTCGTTGAGTGGTTGAGTTTAGCGTAAGGTAGATCTTTGATATTCTTGGATGGAGCCGAAGCCTTATCTTCAGGATGCGCTACAGCCTGACTGAACCCCACACAATCTATTATCACACTAGAATAACAAGTTACGAAACTGCTGCCTCTCCCTTTAATTTCCCACCTTATATTGACACACGCATATCGACATTTCTCGCCCTCTCCGCTTCTGTACACGTGACTCCGTATTGATCAAACAGGCACAACTTATACCCCTCTGCATGTATAGTAAATGAGCCACAACAAAGTAAACAGTAAGAAAGCGACGACTTTTCAACCCCAACACAACTGAGAGCGACTGTCATAAAACTGGATGTTCCAAAAATGCAATCTCCTTTGAAAACATGGCTTGTTTGTCCTTGTTTTGTGCATTGTTGGAAAAAAAAAAATCCAACCACAAAAAGAATCTGAACAGTGATTCTGAAGCAGCTTCTTGTTATTTTACGTCAAACATTTCGCATATTTCCACACATGCTGGAATGTGGGTGCATGTTTACTATCATTCAACTGGTTCGGACGGCTCTGCAGCTCCCCAGCAAGGAAAAATGTGTCTTTAAGCTTCACTAGGAGTCAGGTAGAAGTGACTTTCTTTGCTAAGATGCTCAATAAAGTGTAAATGAGGATGGAAGGAGTGTCTGTCGTGGTACTATTACAACCCTAAATAAGCCAACACACTGCTGCTGCCCCTCTCTCCCCCCCAAACAAGAAGCCCAAATGTCACAGCTTTGATAGCGAACACAAACTCTTCTCCTATTGGCTCGTCGTAAATAGGCTGTAAGTTTAAACCGTACGCATGGAAGAAATGCTGAGTCCGTCGTTCCAAAGACAAAAAAACCTGTTAGGGGTGTAAACATATCTGCTCTGGTTGGCCTGACACCTTAACCTTTTGACCCCTGAGCAGCTTCTTTCATCTGAGCGACAGGAGAGTTACGAACACGAATTAGTTCCCCAACAACAAATAGATCATAAATGACAACCTGAAAGCTCTGAACTCATTCCACTTTCACACATCTTGTAATTAAAAGAAAAGGTTGCCGACCCTGGAGGCGAGACGGTGTGACACCAACAATTAGATCACAGCAGTGCACAAGCCAGTGTTACTTAAATGATGTTTACATTTCATTGATTTATCCTATATTGTATACATGAAACAGCTTTTATATACATTTTCAATTAATAATTCAGATATAATTCCATCCTGAGAGGCTCGCAGGAGAAGCATTAAGCTGGATTCTTATGAAAAGTGTTGCTACTACGGGTGCAGGACAATATTTTTCAATTCTCTGTTACTGATTCACCTGTATTACACGGCCTGTTAACTTTAGCGAGGGGATCTCGTAGAAAAAAACATCCCTCAGAGTTTGAATGTCCGGTTATATCTGACTGAATAAAACACATGCATGTCTGTCATGTGCTGCGTGTGACACAAGAAACGCCTGATGACTGACGCATTCTGACAAACTTTTCCTATTTAAACCCACCTCCCTGTTTGCCCCCTTTAGAAATAAAACCAATCCCATACATTTCACTTAGTCTCTGCCTAGACCCTCCAAGCAGCCAACAAACCATGAACCAGAACTTGCTTGGTCCAATCTACAAGCCCAAAGATCTTCTATCAGTTGATAAGAAACAAGCAGCAAACCCCCACATTAGAGAGAAACCAGAGGAAGGTCGGCATGTTTCCTCAAAAAATGAATGAAACCAGTGGCTCCAAAAATAGCTCCAGATTAATTTTGCATCAACTAATTGTTTCAGCTCTTGTCTGTCAAAAATATCATTTTTTTTGTTAATAAACTTTAATCTTAGATATACAGGCAGAGGTTGGATATGGATCCACATGAGATGTTTGAATGAGATCAAGAGAGTCTGAAGTAGTGCCTGAAGACACCATCATCTCTCCACTATTCTGTAAAAAATCCTGTTCATCCTGCAGCTCCTCCACATTGATCTGTTTTCATTTTCAGTAAGTTATTTTGGACACCTTTAAAACAGAGTCTAATAACACCTACAGGCTGCTTGTAGGAGGTTTTTATTTTATTTTCTTTACATAACTGATTCCAGGCTTAAAGAGCAACACATAATCAGCCTAATGAAGAACTTTATTTTATTTTTAGAATATTGCTGGTGCTGTTTGATTTCATTGAATCCACTCCATGTGGTTTTTGTGGCATAATTCTTCTGTTTGGTTAACTTCCTGAGAATACAGGAGCGAGCGATTTAAAAAGTCAGCTGAATTAAATCTGTGCAGCGCAGTGTGGGAGGCGGTGAACTCGTGTAAAAAGAAAGAAACCCTTTAAAAACGTTGGATTGAATTGTGTGTACTTGATTTGTGTGATGGAGAAAGTGCACTACCTGCAGTCAGCTGGGCGACAGACAGGAGGATCAACGCCGCTCGAAGGCTCCGCTTCCCGGGACAAGTCATGGTGAGAGCCGCATCTGCTCCCGCTGGGACGCACCGCTTTTTTTTCCTCCTCTCTCTTTTTTTTTATTACGCAGCTACTCTGCACAAAACGCAAAAATCATACATGTCCATCGGCCGTGGCACCCCCGACACAAGTGTCTCACACAGTAAATGACCAGGAGGAGGGTGGAGGGGGGGTGGGAGGAAACTGTAAAACGCAATTTGCTCCGCCTCTGTTGACTGGAATTTAAGAGGATTACGGCTGCAGACCTCTGATAAAGACATGTGAATGGGAGCCAGGGAGAAAAGCGCGTCGCACATCCATTTCAAACTGTAAACATCAGCCCCTGTGTGCGCGCGCGACATGGAGACGACCTCTGGCCACTAAATGTGGAATGAAGGCTAATTAGATTAATAATGAGTTTCAGGAGAACCATCAAGTGACAGCATTGCACCACAGAGTGAAAAAAAATAAAGATCAGAGTGAGCTTTGGGAAGACACACAAACTCTCTCCTCCATGTGTACATAACCCACTAGTGGGGCAGTAAACTGGCTGTAATCACACGCATTAGTTTTCAGGGGACAGTTGCTAAGCTGCTCGGAGCCCCTGGGGCACAAAAATTTGTTGCTGTTGCCCTGTTGTGCTTGTGCTCCATTGTGTCTCCTTCCCATTGAGTGCAATTAGTGTCAATTAGTGTGATATTACGACTAAAGAGAGTTCTATTTGTGGATGGGCACCGTGTGAGCTCAAAGCCAAATAAAGCTTCTGCATTTTGACACACATCTCCATGACAGGACACAACAATGCAGGTGGTTACGAGGTGCAAACTCTCTCCGCAGGTAATCAAATTACCAAACACTAATCAAGTTTGGTGTCCCAGTTACCAGCTTTGCCAGTTTGGTAATCCAGCAAGCTGCCTAAGTTACACTCCTGAGGCTGTTACGGTTCCCCTCGCTGGATGTCAGCAGCACCCAGGACAACAAAAACCCAAGAAACCAACCCTCTCAGGTGTGGACCATTCACCTGCGTGGAATGCCAGACTCACCTGCGCGCAGGAAGTTATTTACAGCCGGCCATATGTGACCAAGTTTCTGCAGCACAGGCTCCATGGCAACAAAAGGTGCCAGCGTCACCAGGGAGGGTGAAGGAGTGAGGCCAGTTTAATCCCAAAGACTGCGAGCGCGACAGCACAGCAGAAAATGCTTTTTTTTTTCTCTCTCCCTGTTTATTCAGCTTTATCTGGTTCAGTACTTTACACTTTAACCTCTGCTCTCGCCGCACCACTTGTGGTGTTTGGAAGGTTAAGAAAAGTTATCCATACAAACGTGTTGGTGTCGGTAGACTGATACCGGGTCACTGCAGCAACACTAGTAAACAAAAAAAATGAAAGAACTTGTGCACATAATGTGAAATGTACATTTAACCATCGGTCAACACTAAATATTGTCATCGTTGCTATGATTTGCAAGGTTTAGTACATTAACAACTCAGTTTTCTTGTTAGTCCAGCTGACAATGACCCAATTATTAATCATCTAATTAGTAATATACTGATTATAGCCTCTCTGGAAAAGGGGAGCATCTATTACCATTCACTCAGATCCAGTCCCAAAATTTCAAGGAAGCAGGATGGGACTTTAAAAAAACTGGAGTCAAAACTGGGTCCTCTGTGGGCGCAGGACGGATCAAATGACTCTGAATATGAAGACCGTCGACACAGAAAGTCTGACAGCTGTTGATAAATGCAAGCAGGGCGTCTCAGCACTGTTCGACATCCACTGTTGTGTTTCTATCATCTGGCCTCTAAACTCTTCTGGCATATTAATCAGCCTGTAAACCATCAGGAGCCCACTTTTTTTTGTTTGACATCTGCCAAGATATCTGCTGTGCGCGCAGTTTCTAGTTCATCGCTGGCAAAGGGAAACGCCTGGGCTTTTTGACCTTTTCCAAATGAATATAAATGAATTTGTTGCATTATTAGTGCAGATGTGAAGCTTTTCACAGCACAGAAAGAGATGATTGTGGAGAAATAACTTTGTTTTAAAAGCAGCTACTTGAATATGGAATGATTTAATGATGATAATATTCATTAACTCAGTTGGAAAGGCAAGTGGATTGATCCTTGTTATGCATCAGGGCTGAACAATTCATCAATCTCAAGTCGAAATCGCATTTTAAAACAATGCAACAAGTAAATCACAAAGGCTGGCGGTAAAGATTTAGTTTAACCTAAGCACACTGACACTTTTAGGGTTTGTTTATGCTCGACCATTTATCATGTGTCATCGTTTAATAGCCACATCTCGCAGCGGTTGGTTCTTATTCAGGGTTTTAACTTTTAAACTGTTGTGTCAGTGGTTTTATATATTTATGCCACCCTTGTCGTGTGGCTGTAATGCTTTGATATCTCCAGTGCTCCATACAAATGTCCATCCACTGTGCAGCTAAAATAAAAACTGTACAACACTATTAAATTTAGACTAAAAGGCTATAATTCACACCTGCATTAATTGTATTTATGCCACTTAGAAGTTTACCCCTTTAATTACTTTCCAACATTAAATAAAGGTAGTTTAATTTGGCTTTAAGGATAATATATATACTAAAAGAAAATGATTTAATGTCAAGGTGAAAGTTAATTCCTACAAAGTGATATTAGTTAATTAAAAATGTAAAATAAGTTATTGCATATGTATTTACCCTCTCACCTGATACGAGACAGGTGCAGTCATATAACGCTTAGAAGTCACACAATTAGTGAAATCGAGATCATCGGAGTGAAATGAATGTGTCTAAAGTAACTGTACACCTACACCTGGAGGGTTCAGTCATCGGTGAGTCAGTACTTCTGATCATAACGACACCATGAAGACAAAAGAACACTCCAAGCAACTCTGTGAAAAGGCGATTAAAAGGCATACGTCAGGGGATGAAAGCAAGAAAATATAGTATTTGAATATCTGAATTAGTGAACTGGAAAGCAGTAAAACCATCATTAAGAAATGGAAGGAATATTGACTATTTGTAAATCCTCCTAGAGCAAGCTGTTCTCAAAAACTTCGCGGCTGTGCAAGAAAGAGACTAGTAAGGAAGGCCACCAAGACACCTATGACTCCTCTGAAACAGGTGCAAGCTTCAGTGGCTCAGGCCAGAGTTCTTCACAAGCCAAAGAGAGTGGCAAAAAGAAAGCCACTGTTTAAAAGCTCATATGAAATCTCAGTTTGCTAAAGGGCATGTGGGAGACTCTGAAGTCAACTGGAAGTGGGTTCTTTGGTTGGATGAAAGCAAAATGTGGCTTTTTGGTTGGGATGCATTGGTATTGGCCGATATTAGTGTTTTTTTCCCATATGTTGTTCATTGGTCCAATAAATAAATTTAGCCGATGTGTATAACTGATGATTGTCTAACTTTAGAGCCTTCATTCCTACATCTGATATTGCTGCTATTTCACATATGTTTTTACTGAAATAGTTCTGGACTTTAAATATGTATAAATATGTTTTATTTTTGTTGTGTAATAAAGAAGACTAGGTGGTCTAATTTGGGCTTCTTTTGAATAACTTTCTCACAGTGATTACTTATACAAATTTTTCCCCCCCCAAAAAAATTGAATATCGACATCGGTAATATCAGTTGTCGGCGATATCAGAAATCTTGATGTCGGTATCGGCCAGAAATTTTAATTTCGTGCATCACTATTTTTTGGCCACCAGACCAAATGCTACACTGAACATTCTCACATAGACAACATTCCTACTGTGAAGCACGGTGGTGGCAGCATCATGATGTGGGGATGCTTTTCGGCAGCTGACACTGAAAGGCTTGTAAAGGTAGAAATAAATGCAGCAGAGTATGCGGAAAATCCTGATGCAGTCTGCAATCAGACAATGATCTGAAGCATGTAGCCAAAGCTACACAGAAGTGTTGTAAAGACGACACGGTTCTGGAGTGGCCGAGTCAGAGCACAGAACAGAAGGTTTGTTCGCTCACATTCTCTGCAACCTGACAGAACTTGAGCAGTTTTTCAGAGAGGAATGGGGTATAACTGCAAAATCCAAATGTACAAGACTGATTATTCACAAAGGCTCAGTGCTGTGAATTCAGCCAAAGGTGCACTTGAGGGGTGAGACAACTTATACAGTCACTTATTTTATAATTCAACTGACATTACTGTGTAGAAATCAGTTTTAACTTTGACATGAAAAAAAAATCTTGTCAAAAAAGCCAAAATATATTGACCATGATTCAATATTGAAAAATAATAAAAGGGAAAACTTCCAACAAGGGTGACTACTTCTTATAGATGTTGTATCTTAACACGAAAGTGGAGGGAAAAAGTAACTGAAATTAAAATACTAACATGTTGATATGCTCATAATATTTTTGGCTGTTGACTAATTAGCAATAAACACAGAGTACAGCTGAGGCAGATGGGAATTACATGAGTTGGACAAATACCTAAATATTAATGGGCGAATTTAAATTTTACCTCTGATACAAAAAATAAATAAATAAAAATGGGGGATCTAAACATAGTATTAAGGGCAATAAATATCTAGAGCAGCATTTCCAGCAATCTATTAAATTGTTGTCAAGATATTTAATTCAAAACCAAAAATGTAAAATTCATGGTGGCCCTAGACCAAAAGTGACGCCAAAGACCGTAGGATGCTCCTAATAAGTGACTAATTGAACCTGCTGGTAGTGCTGGTGGAAGAGTTAGGGATTTACCAAAGTTCACAGACTTAAATCTCTGCAGGTCAAGAGTTTCCGTGTAGAGTTTCATGGCAATCTCTTCAATAGTTGTTGAGGTATTTCAACCAGGACCACAGCAGCAGACTCACCGTAGTCCCCAAACACAGCATCATTACCACACCTAATAAATATATCTACAGGACACAGCATCAAGACAAATGAGACAGATAAAATAATTTTTTACTATTTAATTAATAGAAATCACTAATTGATATAAAATGTTAAGGAAATTAAAAAAAAGGCTGAAGTTTGACTTCATTTACTT